TATGTGTCAGTAAAAATGCTATCAAAACTAAAAGTATCAAAGACAGACACACCTCCATACCTACAACCCAGTACATGTCTACATCAGATCAGGGGATCAAATATTCACTATCAAATCATGTACAAGTTTACAAATCATGAACAAGATGACAATGTGAGCTATATGCATTCTCCGTGTAAATATGGAAACTATTTGTTAACAAAAAGGATGTGCAAACAAAACAGGCAGCCGCACGAAGCCACATGCAGCCGCACGAAGCCACACACATTAAATATTCCTAACTGCTACAAGAAAGGCATTCACTGAGGGCAACTGTGCCTCTCGGACTAACTTGTTTAACTGCTGACACCACAAGACGGCATGTTCTAGATACAAGCTGTCTCACCCAACACACAGTTTCCTCTCACTGTAAATGATAACACAATACACTTCTGTCCCTCACACACAAAATGTCCCCCAACCTGAACAAGCTGACAACGGATGACTTATCTAGCATTAGACAGACTAGACATTTACAAAGGTCTCCAGTGGGACCCCGTTGCTCCAAGGGATCTTAGATCAGAAACTTCAAGTCCCGTGTTGGCTGGGCTCCCGTCTATGGTCTCTATCAACTGTGTGTCCATGGGAGACACCAGAAACATCGGCAGGATGCAGTTACACACTTGTGTGACTACACAGAGGCATGCAGTCTTGTAGAAACATGGGTTCAAATCTGATGTCATGAAACCCCTAGCTGTCCAAGCTATCAACGTCTTGGTGTTCTCTCTCATTTGATGATGCCCATCAATATTGGTTTATGGATCAAATAACATTCTCTGTAATGGCTGACTCATCCTAAGCCATCAATATTGGTTTATGGATCAAATAACATTCTCTGTAATGGCTGACTCATCCTAAGCCCATCAATATTGGTTTATGGATCAAATAACATTCTCTGTAATGGCTGACTCATCCTAAGCCATCAATATTGGTTTATGGATCAAATAACATTCTCTGTAATGGCTGACTCATCCTAAGCCATCAATATTGGTTTATGGATCAAATAACATTCTCTGTAATGGCTGACTCATCCTAAGCCATCAATATTGGTTTATGGATCAAATAACATTCTCTGTAATGGCTGACTCATCCTAAGCCATCAACATTGGTTTATGGATCAAATAACATTCTCTGTAATGGCTGACTCATCCTAAGCCATCAACATTGGTTTATGAATCAAATAACATTCTCTGTAATGGCTGACTCATCCTAAGCCATCAACATTGGTTTATGGATCAAACACATTCTCTGTAATGGCTGACTCATCCTAAGCCATCAACATTGGTTTATGAATCAAACACATTCTCTGTAATGGCTGACTCATCCTAAACCTCAACACACTGACCCAGATCTTTCAACCTGACCACTACATACTGAACTTCACCTTGACCTTTCACCTAACAGTGACAAAATTCTCTTCAACCACGACCCTTACATGACTAACTTAACCCTGATCTTATTGTGACCTAACTTTGAACTTTCAATCAGTGCATGTCCGCAGTGACTGTACTCGACCTTTCACCTAAGAGTGACAGGCCACAGATACAGGAGGCAATGATAACATGTGTGGCTGAATACAAGAATCAGAACAAGATACAGGAGGCAATGATAACATGTGTGGCTGAATACAAGAATCAGAACAAGATACAGGAGGCAATGATAACATGTGTGGCTGAATACAAGAATCAGATGAAGATACAGGTGCAGCAAACATCAGCAGCAGTCAACAATAAACAATACAGGCTGATCAATCAGATCAAACAAATTGATCATATTCATGGATGACACGAGGTCAGTGACAAACACAAATGCCCTATATATCAGACAAATAAGTGTTCCCAAACAACAACCACAACTCACTGCAGACGCAATCTACAGATGAAACTGCCATGTTGTCTGTCACAGGAGTCCAACCTACCAGTGCCAACTTGACTCTTGTCACAGGAGTCCAGTTTAGAAATGTCCCATACCTTCTACTTTCTCTCTCTACTCTCTTTCTTCAGCCCTCTCCTGGTTCACTCTGGCTCTCTACATAACTCTCTCTTCTGCCTCAGAAAATCAGTCACCTCTTTTCAGCAATCTTTTCCGCCTTCTCCTTCAGACAATTAAACTATTTAACACACCTGACTGACCAACAATATAATACATTGGTAATAAACTAAAAATGCCTTCTCCTTCAGATGATTAAACTATTTAACACACCTGAAGAAGAAGAATGTGATACAACAAATTGGTAACAAAATAAAAATGCCTGCTTGGGCGTCTTCTATATTGTGCAGAAGGCTCAGCATATTCTGAAAATGAGGATTCTTGGATAAAAGTGAAACCAGAAATACGCACAAGCCCCACCCTTGGGTTGTTCTTGTCCCTGACAACCGTTCGGACGCAATTAAACAAAGGTGTACACTGGCTACCAATGAGTAGAATTCTCTCATTTGTGAAACGAGGTGTAACAGAACAATGGCTGACAGTACATTTCTGGGACAACTTCAGTACAATAACATTAATCAGCACAGAGTCACAGATATCTGCCTGAACTGTCATCATGGGTGTGTGTATACAGATGAACTTTACCTGTTGCCTGCTAGAGTGATTGACAACAGTTGGTGGGTGGAGTCTGTTTGTGGGACACACTTCTCACAGATCACTCTTGAGAAAGTCTCCCTCTCACACACGCAACAGTTGGAACTTGAAGCAGACAGAATGTAGATGGTGGTAACTGGTCACCAGAACACACACACACCAACAACACAATGAACAAACAAACTTAAATGTTGCTTCAGTCTCTGGCGTTTCTCTGTGCTGGTGGACAAGTCCTTTGACTGTGAACCAAACTGGCTGGAGAACTAGTCTCTGGCCCATGTCTTGTCCTCTTCATCAGTCAAGTCAGTGCAGCCTCGGTTGCACATGTACAAATCTGCAGCTGTGTTCTATCTACACCACACTGGGTTGCTGAAGTCCCTCTGACATCATTACCTCCCCTGCTTTGTCTCCATGTAAACAGTGTACAGTACCATCCACTTGTAGAATATGTCTGTCAGTTCTTCTCTGTTGGCTCCCTGTATTTCATACTTCACGTCTGCACAACTCCAAGTACCGTCCATCAGTCAGTCAGACAGTCAGTCTTTCAGTCAACTATTGATAACAGATGTCAGAATGTCACAAGAAATATTTGCTACCGTTGTCAAATGTCCATTTCTCTGAAATGTTACCTGTCCACCTCGCTGACTTTTGCTAACTCTCCTCTTCACACCGACTATAGCTTCTAACTCTCCTTTTTACACCGACTATAGCCTCTAAATCTCCTCTTTAAACCGACTGTAGCTTCTATCTGTCCTCTGCACACCGACTGTAGCTTCTGTCCTCTGCACACCAACTGTAGCTTCTGTCCTCTTTACACCGACTGTAGCTTCTGCCCTCTTCACACCGACTGTAGCTTGTCCTCTTCACACCGACTGTAGCTTCTGTCCTCTTCACACCGACTGTAGCTTCTGTCCTCTTCACACCGACTGTACCTTCTGTCCTCTTCACACCGACTGTAGCTTGTCCTCTGCACACCGACTGTAGCTTCTGTCCTCTGCACACTGACTGTAGCTTCTGTCCTCTTCACACTGACTGTAGCTTCTGTCCTCTTTACACCGACTGTAGCTTCTAACTGTCCTCTGCACACCGACTGTAGCTTCTGTCCTCTTCACACCGACTGTAGTTTCTGTCCTTTTCACACCGACTGTAGCTTCTGTCCTCTTCACACCGACTGTACCTTCTGTCCTCTTCACACCGACTGTAGCTTCTGTCCTCTTCACACCGACTGTAGCTTCTGTCCTCTTCACACCGACTGTAGCTTCTGTCCACTTCAAACCGACTGTAGCTTCTGTCCTCTTCAAACCGACTGTAGCTTCTGTCCTCTTCACACCGACTGTAGCTTCTGTCCTCTTCACACCGACTGTAGCTTCTGTCCTCTTCACACTGACTGTAGCTTCTGTCCTCTTCACACTGACTGTAGCTTCTGTCCTCTTCACACTGACTGTAGCTTCTGTCCTCTTCACACCGACTGTAGCTTCTGTCCTCTTCACACCGACTGTAGCTTCTGTCCTCTTCACACCGACTGTAGCTTCTAACTGTCCTCTTCACACTGACTGTAGCTTCTGTCCTCTTCACACTGACTGTAGCTTCTGTCCTCTTCACACCGACTGTAGCTTCTAACTGTCCTCTTCACACTGACTGTAGCTTCTGTCCTCTTCACACCGACTGTAGCTTCTGTCCTCTTCACACTGACTGTAGCTTCTGTCCTCTTCACACTGACTGTAGCTTCTGTCCTCTTCACACCGACTGTAGCTTCTGCCCTCTTCACACCGACTGTAGCTTCTGTCCTCTTCACACTGACTGTAGCTTCTGTCCTCTTCACACTGACTGTAGCTTCTGTCCTCTTCACACTGACTGTAGCTTCTAATTGTCTACTAACTAACTTGTTCACCACAGCCTATTTTCTGTTGTGAAAATCTGTCATAAGGAGCCAACTAAAGATAAGACACATCACATCAAACAATAGATAAGATACATCCCATCAAACAAAAAAATTAGACACATCCCATCAAACAAAAGCTAAGACACATCCCATAAAACAAAAGCTAAGACACATTCCATCAAACTAATGATGTATCAGGTTTCTGGTGTTCACATCATCCATCAGACAAACACAAATGCCAAAGTAGTCGTCTGTAGTCATTTAACACATCTTAAAACCTGACACTCAACGCCAAAGTAGTCTTCTGTAGTCATTTAACACATCTTAAAACCTGACACTCAACTACATTTATTCACCCGTCAATCATCCACTCGTTAATCAGTTACTACATCACTCAAAACCACAAGTGAAAAAATGTTTTTACAAAAATAAAAGGCCAACACATCTTTAACCTGGCTGGCTCAAGAGACATCCAGGAGCCAGACAAAAAGGCCATCTACTGGTTCTCTAGTGATCCCAGATCTTGCAACCGTCGCATGAAGGGGTGGGCGGAGGCAAGTCTCTTGGCTGGGCTTTGAACTGTGTCCTCTTGATCCACTTCCAGGACCCGCTTGGTGGTGGACTTGATTCCCTGTCTGATCATCTTGTTGATAGCCTGCAGGTCCTACAAACAACAGTGCATGCAGTCCATCAGCTGAAGTTGGTAGGTTTATGAAACAGATCAACATCATGGCACAAGGCTACTAACCCATAAGTGCTCCTTTCAGCTTCTAACTCAAGCCTGAGTCTGAAGTGCATGAGCTCCGTAGCACCAGCGAGGATCCTGAAAATACTTTTTTTTTAACTCCAAATTTTGCCCGGGTAGTGCAGTTAGGCTACTCTTTTCAATTTCCAACTGCCAAGGTATTTTTTACGTGTGTAACAATACACACAGGCGTCCGATATTACTACCCAGAGACCAGGAGAATTTACCAGAAGTCCATGGGGAAAAAAATCTCAGCCCTCACTGGGGCTTGAACCCAGGACCTCCAGCACTCAAGGCTGACACCATGCCTGGAGACCACTCAGCCTGAGTGGCACTAAATAATGGATTAGCTGAGTGGCACCACATAGCGGATACATTAATTACACTACAAGGTGGATTAACTGAGTGGCACTACATAGCGGATTGAACCTGACATAGTCGATGGATTATCTCAGTAAACATAATGTACTGGATGGGTAATCTGAGTGAACATAATATCCTGGAGTGGATGCGAGTAAACACAACACTGTGGATTGGATAAGTTCGAGTCAACAACTGGATGAATATAACCATCTGAAAGATGACAGAATACTGACAGATCCAGAACACTTACTGATGACAGAAAACTGATACATGACAGAACACTGACAGGCCTTAGAAAACTGACAGATGGTAAAACGATGACAGATGATACAACAATGACAGATGACAGAACACTGACAGGTGATAGAACACCTACTGATGACAGAAACTGACAAATGGTAGAACACTGCCAGATGGTAGAACACTGACAGATGGTTGAACACTGACAGATGACAGAACACTGACAGGTGACCTTAAACCAACAGGTAAAAGAATACCAACAGCTGATAGAATACTGACAGATGACAAAACACTGCTGGCTATCTTACCTTGGATGGGCTCAGGTTAAACGAGTAAGACATGCCGCGGGTGTAGGGGTGAACCACTCCTCTGTGAGGGGAGATAAACACAGGGTGGATGTTGGAAACTCGTCGCGGTGAGCTGGTCAGACATCGGACTGCTGGCAGGGGAGACAACTTGGGTTGATCCTGAAAATGAACAAAAAGATGTCTTCCATAAGCCAGAACTACAAGTATATGGGGAGTATTTTATTATATGGTTTGGTTTATACAACACATCAACATCATGATACAAAGGTGGTAGCCAAGTGCTACGTTCTACTTTTAACTCAAGCCTGGGTCCGCAGAATTTCAGCGCAGATGACAGAACATACAAGGGTAGTAACCCATAAGTGCTCCGTTCTACTTCTAACTCTGGTCTCATCTTCCAGTTCCCTACAGAGAACTTCTTTGTCTTCTCCTTACAGGTCTTGATGACATCATCCATCATAACAATGAAGAGGTCAGGTGAGAGAATATCACCTTCTCTAACACCATTAGTGGTCATAAAATCTTCTGACTTTTGGTCTGCTGTTCTTGCATAATTTCTGCAGCTTTTGTAGAAACTCTGTATTGCACTGATCAGGGGTGCTGAGATGTTTTTTCCTGTCAAGCAGTCCCAGAGCTTGTTCCGGGGTACCTCACATCAAGATCCCAAAAACATAGGTGCTTCTCCCTCTTATATTCAAGGCCTTTTTCACTCATCTGTCTCAGTGTGAAGATAAGGTCTTGAGTCCTTCAGTTTGCTCTGAAGCCGCATTGGCCCTGATCCATATGTGATTCTACCAGACTTTTCAGTCTCTGCTCAAGAATTCTTGTGTAACTTTTACCAGGAAAGCTGAGGAGAGATTTGCCTTTGTGCTTTTCACATTGTCTATTATCACCCTTCTTAAATGCAGGCGTAATGATGGCAATCTCCTAGTCTTCTGGTATAGTTTTGCTGCACCAGGCTGCCTAGAAAACATTGAGAAGAAGTGGCTCACCTGTGACTCCCATACAAATATTTGATCATCTTTGGTGTTATACCACCATGTCCTGCTGCTTTCTCCAGCTGAATCTTCTCTATAGCTGCCTTCAATTCTTCCCTCCGGATGTTATCCCCATGGATGAGTTCCTTCTCAGTAGTGAATTTTATTATTTCTGGGTCATGACTTTCTCCAACACCAAAGAGCTCTGACAGCTATTCTGTCCATGATATCATTTGTAGTAGTCAGCAGAATTCCTTCCTTGTCTTTTATGAATTTCAGTGGCCACTCTTTCTCATTCCTCGTGTTCTTGAGGGTCATGCATTTTTTTCTAACTTTTCTCAAAATTCTTCCCATGATTTCATGTTTCACTTTAAGCATTATATTTTTGGCCTCTGTTCTGAGTGCTGCATATTGTTTATATTTCTCTGTTCCTTCAGCTGTGTTCCTGGCTACCAGGTATTGCTTCCATCCTTTTTTTTTTCTTCCTTTTCTCCTATTTTCAGTTTTACTACTTCCATCCACCAAGGTGTCCTTTGTCCCCGTCTTCCACTTGGGACTCCACCACATTCTTCTACTGCAGCTGCTGTGAGGATTTTCTTGAATATGCATCAGAGGGTTTCAGTGTCCTCTGATGGTTCTTCTTCAGTTCCTATTGCTTTGACCATCAGTTCCTGGTAGCTAGCCTTAATATCTGGCTCTCTTAGCTGGCAGGCCTTTATCCTCATCCCTTGTCTGTTGCTTGGTTTCTTGCATAGTTGTCGGTGTTGCCTTGTTGGAGCAGTTCTTTCAGTTGTTCTCTTTTTTGTGACCAGATAGTGGTCCTCTCATAATTCTGGCATCTCTCACAATCTTGAAATAACTTTTTGTTACTATGGCATATTCAATGATAGACTTCTCATTCTCTGAAGGTTCACATCTTGTGTATGCATGTATACGTTTGTGGGAGAATTTTGTGTTTGTACTGACAAGGTTCTGTTCCCTGCAGAATCCGACAAGTCACTTGCATTATCATTCAAAACATATTCACTATATCTCTTGACCACTCCAGCCTAATTAGAGTGATCATTTCCTACTATCACTCCAGCCTAATTAGAAGGATCATTTCCTACTATCACTCCAGCCTAATTAGAGTGATCCTTTCCTACTATCACTCCAGCCTATCTAGAGTGATCATTTCCTACTATCACTCCACCCTATCTAGAGTGATCATTTCCTACTATCACTCCAGCCTATCTAGAGTGATCATTTCCTACTATCACTCCACCCTATCTAGAGTGATCATTTCCTACTATCACTCCAGCCTATCTAGAGTGATCATTTCCTACTCTGGCACTGAGATCTCAAAGAACATCAGTTCATCCTGACAGTTATCTATGGTCTGCTGGAGCATTTCAAAGATTTCTTCTTTGACATCAACTCGCTCGTCTTCATTTGGTCCGCACACAACAACTAAATTAACAATTTATCTACTTTTAACACCAAAATTTGCTCTGAGATAAATGTCCAACCCTTAAAGTTTCTAACTTGATTCCTGGCCACAATACAGCCAACACTCCCTCTGGCCCTCTCTGTCACAGGGACACCACTGTAGAGCAGTGGTCTGATTCCCTGTCCCGTTTTCTTGGTTTCAGTCAGAGCTAAGATTCCTAATTTTGCTTGTTTCATCTCCTCAATGACCTTGTTTTCCTTTCCGTTAAGGCCTCGTATATTCCATGTTCCATAAACCGTAGTCCGTAAGCCATGCTAGTTCGTTGCCTAGGATCTGTCCAGTCTGTTGTTGTGGCATGGAGAGGTGTCAGCACATGAACTGATGCCCCCAGCTGTAGACTGTAGGCAGGCAAGATCACCCATGCCAGTCGGCCAGGTCATTGATAATAATGATAATTTAAGCCACGCATCACATCTCTTTTTCTTCTTCTTCACATTCATCAGCTGTAAACTCCAGCAGAAAGTTCTGGTTGTTCATCCACATCTGGAGTTAAGTCCAGAACTTGAGTGTTGCGTGCACATCTGTTTTACAGGTCTGGCTTACCTGTATTCAGAATGTTAGTTCTTTGCCAGTCCGGCAGATGCCTCCTGAAACCCCTAACTAGTCGTCTTTTACATGCTTGTTTGGTGTGGGGGGGGGGGGGGGAAGAGAACAGGTCTATTCCTGTATGCCCCCCCCCCCCCCCATCACAATGAGACCTACAAACCCAGACTGACATTGTCCAATCCCTGATCTAATTCAGGCACCTGTCCAATCCAACAATCACCGATCTAATTCAGGCACCTGTCCAATCCAACAATCACCGATCTAATTCAGGCACCTGTCCAATAAAAATATAAATGCTGATCTAATTCAGGCACTTGTCCAATCCAACAATCACCCATCTAATCCAGGATCATTTTCTGATCATTCCCAGAATTATGTAGAGTCCTAGAACTTTTGTTCTTGCAGTCATTCATTTAAGGTCAATCTAGAGCAAGTCTGTCACAGCACAACTAACAAGTGACCTCCACAGCCCGGGGTACCAGAGGACAGACTACTGGGTGACCTTTAACCTTGTGCTGCCAGCAACATCTAGATAAAATAGCCTACCTTGGAGTCTGCGGTCTTCTCCGAAAACTTCATAGCAAACGAGCGGATGTTCTTGAGGAAAACCTGCAACATACATAACATACAGTGATGTGTTCTTACTACATCACCGACATAAAGGGATGTGTTCTCGCTACATCATTGTGTCATCATCGAAATACAGGGATTTGTTCTCACTAAATCACAGTATCATCACCGACATAAAGGGATGTGTTCTCACTACATCACTGTGTCATCATCGACATACATGGATGTGTTCTCACTACATCACTGAGTCATCATCGACATACAGGGATGTGTTCTCACCACATCACTGTGTCATCACCTACAAACAGGGATGTGTTCTCACTACATCACAGTATCATCACCGACATACAGGGATGTGTTCTCACTACATCACTGTGTCATCATCGACATACAGGGATGTGTTCTCACTACGTCACTGTGTCATCATCGACATACAGGGATGTGTTCTCACCACATTACTGTGTCATCACCGACATACAGGGATGTGTTCTCACTACATCACTGTGTCATCATCGACATACAAGGATGTGCTCTCACTACATCACTGTGTCATCACCGACATACAGGGATGTGTTCTCACTACATCACTGTGTCATCATCGACATACAAGGATGTGTTTTCACTACATCATTGTGTCACCACCAACATACAGGGATATGTCACTTGTGTTGACTTCTAATCTAGGTCACTCACACAGACTGAATGCGATGCTCACAAACAGAAAAACAGGTTGAGACAAACAGTCAGACAGTAAGATAAAGACAACCAAAAAATAGACAGACAGTTGCACTTTATGGTTCATAGAATCAACATTCAGTGGCAGCAGGTCAGATGAACAACTTGAGAATAAACTAAATCATGAAGGCTGGGGGGCAGCTGCTCTACTAAACAGATATATTAAAAGTGAGACAAGAAGACAGACAAGAACATACACCTTAAATAGTAAGGCAAACAGTTGTCTGTCTGAGACAAGAATACAAACAAGAACATATTTCCCAAATGGTAAGGCAAACAGTTGTCTGTCTGAGACAAGAATACAAACAAGAACATATACCCCAAATGGTGAGGCAAACAGTTGTCTGTCTGAGACAAGAATACAAACAAGAACATATACCCCAAATGGTAAGGCAAACAGTTAGCTGTCTGAGACAAGAATACAAACAAGAACATATACCCCAAATGGTAGGGCAAACAGTTGTCTGTCTGAGACAAGAATACAAACAAGAACATATACCCCAAATGGTAGGGAAAACAGTTGTCTGAGACAAGAATACAAACAAGAACATATACCCCAAATGGTAAGGCAAACAGTTGTCTGTCTGAGACAAGAATACAAACAAGAACATATACCCAAAATGGTAGGGCAAATAGTTGTCTGTCTGAGGCAAGAATACAAACAAGAACATTTACCCCAAATGGTAAGGCAAACAGTTGTCTGTCTGAGACAAGAATACAAACAAGAACATATACCTCAAATGGTAAGGCAAACAGTTGTCTGTCTGAGACAAGAATACAAACAAGAACACAAACAAGAACATATACCCCAAATGGTAAGGCAAACAGTTGTCTGTCTGAGACAAGAATACAAACAAGAACATATACCTCAAATGGTAAGGCAAATAGTTGTCTGTCTGAGACAAGAATACAAACAAGAACATATACCCCAAATGGTGAGGCAAACAGTTGTCTGTCTGAGACAAGAATACAAACAAGAACATATACCCCAAATGGTAAGGCAGTTAGCTGTCTGAGACAAGAATACAAACAAAAACATATACCCCAAATGGTCGGGCAAACAGTTGTCTGTCTGAGACAAGAAAACAAACAAGAACATATACCCCAAATGGTAGGGAAAACAGTTGTCTGAGACAAGAATACAAACAAGAACATATACCCCAAATGGTAAGGCAAACAGTTGTCTGTCTGAGACAAGAATACAAACAAGAACATATACCCAAAATGGTAGGGCAAACAGTTGTCTGTCTGAGGCAAGAATACAAACAAGAACATTTACCCCAAATGGTAAGGCAAACAGTTGTCTGTCTGAGACAAGAATACAAACAAGAACATATACCCCAAATGGTAAGGCAAACAGTTGTCTGTCTGAGACAAGAATACAAACAAGAACATATTCCTCAAATGGTAAGGCAAACAGTTGTCTGTCTGAGACAAGAATACAAACAAGAACATATACCTCAAATGGTAAGGCAAACAGTTGTCTGTCTGAGACAAGAATACAAACAAGAACACAAACAAGAACATATACCCCAAATGGTAAGGCAAACAGTTGTCTGTCTGAGACAAGAATACAAACAAGAACATATACCCCAAATGGTAAGGCAAACAGTTGTCTGTCTGAGACAAGAATTCAAACAAGAACACAAACAAGAACATATACCTCAAATGGTAGGGCAAACAGTTGTCTGTCTGAGACAAGAATACAAACAAGAACATATACCCCAAATGGTAGGGCAAACAGTTGTCTGTCTGAGGCAAAAATACAAACAAGAACATATACCCCAAATGGTGAGGCAAACAGTTGTCTGTCTGAGACAAGAATACAAACAAGAACATATACCCCAAATGGTAAGGCAAACAGTTGTCTGTCTGAGGCAAAAATACAAACAAGAACATATACCCCAAATGGTGAGGCAAACAGTTGTCTGTCTGAGACAAGAATACAAACAAGAACATATACCCCAAATGGTGAGGCAAACAGTTGTCTGTCTGAGACAAGAATACAAACAAGAACATATACCCCAAATGGTGAGGCAAACAGTTGTCTGTCTGAGACAAGAATACAAACAAGAACATATACCCCAAATGGTAAGGTCTGTAGGTCCAAGACAAGAATAAAGACAAGCATATACATTCCAAGTGTCATGGAAGACATCTGTCTGTCTGAGAATGAGACTGACTAAGCTCTCTCCAAGTGTAATGGAAGACATCTGTCTGTCAGAGAATGAGACTGACTAAGCTCTCTCCAAGTGTAATGGAAGACAGCTGTCTGAGAATTAGACTGACTAAGCTCTCTCCAAGTGTCATGGAAGACTGGAAGACAGCTGTCTGAGAATGAGACTGACTAAGCTCTCTCCAAGTGTAATGGAAGACAGCTGTCTGAGAATGAGACTGACTAAGCTCTCTCCAAGTGTAATGGAAGACAGCTGTCTGAGAATTAGACTGACTAAGCTCTCTCCAAGTGTCATGGAAGACTGGAAGACAGCTGTCTGAGAATGAGACTGACTAAGCTCTCTCCAAGTGTAATGGAAGACAGCTGTCTGAGAATTGGACTGACTAAGCTCTCTCCAAGTGTAATGGAAGACAGCTGTCTGAGAATTAGACTGACTAAGCTCTCTCCAAGTGTCATGGAAGATAGCTGTCTGAGAATGAGACTGACTAAGCTCTCTCCAAGTGTAATGGAAGACAGCTGTCTGAGAATTAGACTGACTAAGCTCTCTCCAAGTGTAATGGAAGACAGCTGTCTGAGAATGAGACTGACTAAGCTCTCTCCAAGTGTCATGGAAGACAGCTGTCTGAGAATGAGACTGACTAAGCTCTCTCCAAGTGTCATGGAAGATAGCTGTCTGAGAATGAGACTGACTAAGCTCTCTCCAAGTGTCATGGAAGATAGCTGTCTGAGAATGAGACTGACTAAGCTCTCTCCAAGTGTCATGGAAGACTGGAAGACAGCTGTCTGAGAATTAGACTGACTAAGCTCTCTCCAAGTGTCATGGAAGACAGCTGTCTAAGAATGAGACTGACTAAGCTCTCTCCAAGTGTAATGGAAGACAGCTGTCTGAGAATTAGACTGACTAAGCTCTCTCCAAGTGTAATGGAAGACTGGAAGACAGCTGTCTGAGAATGAGACTGGCTAAGCTCTCTCCAAGTGTCATGGAAGACAGCTGTCTGAGAATTAGACTGACTAAGCTCTCTCCAAGTGTAATGGAAGACTGGAAGACAGCTGTCTGAGAATGAGACTGACTAAGCTCTCTCCAAGTGTCATGGAAGACTGGAAGACAGCTGTCTGAGAATTAGACTGACTAAGCTCTCTCCAAGTGTAATGGAAGACAGCTGTCTGAGAATTAGACTGACTAAGCTCTCTCCAAGTGTCATGGAAGACTGGAAGACAGCTGTCTGAGAATTAGACTGACTAAGCTCTCTCCAAGTGTCATGGAAGACTGGAAGACAGCTGTCTGAGAATTAGACTGACTAAGCTCTCTCCAAGTGTCATGGAAGACTGGAAGACAGCTGTCTGAGAATGAGACTGACTAAGCTCTCTCCAAGTGTCATGGAAGACAGCTGTCTGAGAATGAGACTGACTAAGCTCTCTCCAAGTGTCATGGAAGACAGCTGTCTAAGAATGAGACTGACTAAGCTCTCTCCAAGTGTAATGGAAGACAGCTGTCTGAGAATTAGACTGACTAAGCTCTCTCCAAGTGTAATGGAAGACTGGAAGACATCTGTCTGAGAATGAGACTGGCTGGCCTTTTATCCGAGAAAGTGAAACAAGACTCTCCCATCATGTACAACTTGTCTTAATCATCTGTGTCTTATATTTCTGGTTTACAGTGAAATATTTGAGAACTAAATTACAATGGCATCTATTGAGACATTACCTTTTACATTTACAGCTGACAGATAAAACCTTTAGGCTGGCTTAACTGAAAAGCTACACAAACACTTGTACACCCTCATACATCTACACAAACACTTGTACACACTCATACATCTACACAAACACTTGTACACATTCATACATCTACACAAACACTTGTACACACTCATACATCTACACAAACACTTGTACACATTCATACATCTACACAAACACTTGTACACACTTATACATCTACACAAACACTTGTACACACTCATACATCTACACAAACACTTGCACACACTCATACATCTACACAAACACTTGTACACACTCATATATCTACACAAACAATTGTACACACTCATACATCTACACAAACACTTGTACACACTCATACATCTACACAAACACTTGTACACACTCATACATCTACACAAACACTTGTACACACTCATGCATCTACACAAACACTTGTACACACTCATACATCTACACAAACAATTGTACACACTCATACATCTACACAAACACTTGTACACACTCATACATCTAGTACACACTCATACATTTACACAAACACTTGTACACACTCTTACATCTACACAAACACTTGTACACACTCATACATCTACACAAACACTTGTACACACTCATACATTTACACAAACACTTGTACACACTCTTACATCTACACAGACACCGGCTTCAAGAACTAACCATGTTGTAGAAATGGATAAGGTCCCCTCTCTCTTCCTCGGAGTCAAACTCTGCCCCTCCTCCCACAAACCTGGTGGGCGTCGGGGGCTGACTGCTGGGGTTGGGGTGCGGTAGGGTGCTGGAGGATCTCACAGTTGGATGTTCTAGAGAATATAAGATTACAGCCATGAACATCATGGCAGGTTTGACAGCTACACTTTACATACAGTCACAACCATATGCGACACTTAATATACAAACAATCATAAGTAACACTTAACACACAGTAACAATCATAAGCAACATTTAACACACAATCATAAGCAACACTTAACACACAGTCACAGTCATAAGCAACACTTAACACACAGTCACAATCATAAGCAACACTTAACACACAGTCACAATCATAAGCAACACTTAAAACACAATCATAAGCAACACTTTATTTTAAAAAATCATAAGCAACATTTTACATACAATCACAGGCATAAGCAACACTGTACATACAATCACAAGCTGCACTTGACATAAAATCACAACCATGATCAACATTTTACATGCAATGACAACCGTGTGTAGCACTTGATAAATAACCAAAAGCAGCGCTTTACACACAATCTCATGCAGCACTTTACACAAAATCACAAGAAGCACTTTACATACAATCACAAGCAGCACTTTACACATAATCACAAGAAGCACTTTACATACAATCACAAGCAGCACTGTACATACAATCACAAGCTGCACTTTACATAAAATCACAACCATGATCAAGATTTTACATGCAATGACAACCGTGTGTAGCACTTGATAAATAATCACAAGAAGCACTTTACATACAATCACAAGCAGCACTGTACATACAATCACAAGAAGCACTTTACATACAATCACAAGCAGCACTGTACATATATCATGACCATGAACAACACTACATACAATCACTGCCATGAATAGTGCTTTTACATACAATCACAACCACAAGCAGCATTTTACATACAATTATAACGATGAGCAGCACTCTACGTACAATCAGAACCTGCATTTTACATCAAATCACAACCATCAGCAACACTTTACATACACTCACAACCACAAGCAGCACTTTACATACAATCAAAACCACAAGCAGCAACTGGATAGTCGGCTGTGAATCTTTGGAAGATAAGCTCATCTAGGCCCTGCCAAGAGATTGCTTCTATAGAAGTGGTCGAAGTAGAGGTGGTTGGTGTAAAGGTGGTTGATGTAGAGGTGGTTGAAGGTAGAAGTGGTTGATGTAGAGGTGGTTGGTGTAGAGGTGGTGGATGTAGAGGTGTTGGAGGTAAAGGTGGTTGATGTAGAGGTGGTTTAGGTAGAAGTGGTTGATGTAGAGGTGGCTGATGTAGAAGTGGTGGGTGTAGAGGTGGTGGATGTAGAGGTGGTTGGTGTAGAGGTGGTTGATGTAGAGGTGGTTAATGTAGAGGTGTTTGATGTAGAGGTGGTTGATGTAGAAGTGGTTGATGTAGAAGTGGTGGGTGTAGAGGTGGTGGATGTAGAGGTGGTTGGTGTAGAGGTGGTGGGTGTAGAGGTGGTTGATGTAGAGGTGGGAGATGTAGAGGTGGTGGATGTAGAGGTGGCTGATGTAGAGGTGGTTGATGTAGAGGTGGTTGATGTACAGGTGGTTGATGTAGAAGTGGTGGGTGTAAAGGTGGTTTATGTACAGGTGGTTGATGTAGAAGTGGTGGGTGCAGAGGTGGTTGGTGTAGAGGTGGTTGGTGTAGAGGTGGTTGGTATAAGAGGTGGTTAGTGTAGAGGTTGTTGGTGTAAGAGGTGGTTGATGTAGAGGTGGTTGATGTAGAGATGGTTGGTGTAGAGGTGGTTTGTAGATGTAGAGGTGGTTGGTGAAGAGGTGGTTGGTGTAAGAAGTGGTTGATGTAAAGGTGGTTGGTGTAAGAGGTGGTTGATGTAGAAGTGGTTGATGTAGAGGTGGCTGATGTAGAGGTGGTTGATGCAGAAGTGGTGGGTGTAGAGGTGGTGGATGTAGAGGTGGTTGGTGTAAGAGGTGGTTGGTGTAGAGGTGGTTGGTGTAAGAGGTGGCTGATGTAGAGGTGGTTGATGTAGAGATGGTTGGTGTAGAGGTGGTTTGTAGATGTAGAGGTGGTTGGTGTAGAGGTGGTTGGTGTAGAAGTGGTTGGTGTAGAAGTGGTTGATGTAGAGGTGGTTGATGCAGAGGTGGCTGGTATAGAGGTCGCTGGTGTAGAGGTGGTTGGTGTAGGGTTGGTTGATGTAGAGGTGGTTGATGTAGAGATGGTTGGTGTAGAGGTGGTTTGTAGATGTAGAGGTGGTTGGTGTAAGAGGTGGTTGATGTAGAGGTGGTTGGTGTAAGAGGTGGTTGATGTAGAAGTGGTTGATGTAGAAGTGGTTGATGTAGAAGTGGTTGATGTAGAGGTGGCTGATGCAGAGGTGGTTGATGTAGAGGTGGTTGATGTAGAAGTGGTGGATGTAGAGATGGTTGGTGTAGAGGTGGTTGGTGTAAGAGGTGGTTGGTGTAGAGGTGGTTGGTGGTAGAGGTGGTTGATGTAGAGGTGGTTGATGTAGAGATGGTTGGTGTAGAGGTGGTTTGTAGATGTAGAGGTGGTTGGTGTAGAAGTGGTTGGTGTAGAGGTGGTTGATGTAGAGTTGGTTGATGCAGAGGTGGCTGGTGTAGTGGTCGCTGGTGTAGATGTGGTTGATGTAGAGGTGGCAGATAACAGGTGGTTGGTGTAGAAGTGGTTAATGTAGTAGTGGCTGGTGTGGAGAAAAAAAAAAGCTTTCTATTGATCCAGTATTAAAATGAAATCTCTCACAAACCAAGAACAGTTATAGAATGTCACTACTGGAGACAAACGCACTAGGGCATGTGCATACAGACAGGGCTGGGCTAAGGTCTGGGCTGGTCATGTTATCTTCAACAGCAAACTGAACAATAATCAAACCAATGTCTGTAGAGAAGAGCAACAGTAGGAACAGAAGAGCAACCGCAGGAACAGAAGAGCAACCGCAGGAACAGAAGAGCAACCACAGGAACAGAAGAGCAATAGTAGGAACAGAAGAGCAACAGTAGGAACATAAAACAACCATAAGAACAGAAGAGCAACAGTAGGAATAGAAGAGCAACCGCAGGAACAGAAGAGCAACCGCAGGAACAGAAGAGCAACCACAGGAACAGAAGAGCAACCGCAGGAACAGAAGAACAATAGTAGGAACAGAAGAGCAACAGTAGGAACATAAAACAACCATAAGAACAGAAGAGCACCCGCAGGAACAGAAGAGCAACAGTAGGAATAGAAGAGCAACCACAGGAACAGAAGAGCAACCGCAGGAACAGAAGAGCAACCGCAGGAACAGATGAGCAACCACAGGAACAGAAGAGCAATAGTAGGAACAGAAGAGCAACAGTAGGAACATAAAACAACCATAAGAACAGAAGAGCAACAGTAGGAACAGAAGAGCAACCGCAGGAATAGAAGAGCAACTGCAGGAACAGAAGAGCAACCACAGGAACAGAAGAGCAACCGCAGGAACAGAAGAGCAACCACAGGAACAGAAGAGCAACCGCAGGAACAGAAGAGCAACAGCAGGAACAGAAGAGCAACAGTAGGAACATAAAACAACCATAAGAATAGAAGAGCAACAGGAGGAACAGAAGAGCAATAGTAGGAACAGAAGAGCAATAGTAGGAACAGAAGAGCAACAGTAGGAACATAAAACAACCATAAGAACAGAAGAGCAACCGCAGGAACAGAAGAGCAACAGCAGGAACAGAAGAGCAACAGTAGGAACATAAAACAACCATAAGAATAGAAGAGCAACAGGAGGAACAGAAGAGCAATAGTAGGAACAGAAGAGCAACAGTAGGAACATAAAACAACCATAAGAACAGAAGAGCAATAGTAGGAACAGAAGAGCAACAGTAGGAACATAAAACAACCATAAGAACAGAAGAGCAACAGTAGGAATAGAAGAGCAACAGGAGGAACAGAAGAGCAAACAGTAGAAACAGAAGAGCAACCGCAGGAACAGAAGAGCAACTGCAGGGACAGAAGAGCAACAGTAGGAACAGAAGAGCAACAGAAGGAACAGAAGAGCAACAGTAGGAGAGCAAAAGTAGGAACAGAAGAGGAATCATTAGTAACACTTGCAACAAAAGAGTCAGGAGTAACAATGCTGGCTTCAAAGACACTCAAAAAAACATACTCTTCTCTTTGTTGCCTTCAACTTTGCCATCTACTGTAACTGGAGAAGATGTTCTACTGCCTTCATTACTTTTGCTGCTGTCGCTGCTGCCTGACCCATGGCGGTGCCGACCAGACAGTAGTACACTTCTATAAACCTGCAACAGACAACAGACATAATTATGCACATATCTGATATACTGTCTATGTAGAGTGGAACAGACATAGACATAATTATACACATATCTGACATACTGTCTATGTAGAGTGGAACAGTCAGACATAATTATGCACATATCTGACATACTGTCTGTGTAGAGTGGAACAGACAGACATAATTATGCACATATCTGACATACTGTCTGTGTAGAGTGGAACAGTCAGACATAATTATGCACATATCTGACATACTGTCTGTGAAGAGTGGAACAGTCATAGACATAATTATGCACATATCTGACATACTGTCTGTGTAGAGTGGGACAGATATCAGACATAATCATGCACATATCTGATATACTGTCTGTGTAGAGTGGAACAGACAGACATAATTATACACATATCTGATATACTGTCTATGTAGAGTGGAACGGACATAGACATAATTATACACATATCTGACATACTGTCTGTGTAGAGTGGAACAGACAGACATAATTATACACATATCTGATATACTGTCTATGTAGAGTGGAACAGACATAGACATAATTATACACATATCTGACATACTGTCTGTGTAGAGTGGAACAGACATAGACATAATGATGCACATATCTGACATACTGTCTGTGTAGAGTGGAACAGACAGACATAATTATACACATATCTGATATACTGCCTGTGTAGAGTGGAACAGATATAGACATAATTATACACATATCTGACATACTGTCTGTGTAGAGTGGAACAGACAGACATAATTATACACATATCTGACATACTGTCTGTGTAGAGTGGAACAG